TTGACACAGAGTCTCGCTTTGTTGCCAGGCTAGAGTGAGTGCGTGGCGTCAGCCTAGCTCACAGCAACCTCAAACTCCTGGGCTCAAGCAATCCTCTGCCTCAGCCTCCCAAGTAGCTGGACTACAGCATGCGCCACATGCCGGCTAATTTTATATATATATATTAGTTGGCCAATTAATTTCCTTCTATTTATAGTAGAGACAGGCGTCACTCTTTGCTCAGGCTGGTTTCGGAACTCCTGACCTTGACAATCCGCCGCCTCAGCCTCCCAGAGTGCTAGATTACAGGCGTGAGCCACTGCGCCTGCCTTCATATATATTCTTATTAAGCTAGAAAGTTTGCTACAACTTTATCTCTTTTACACTTGATATTACTTGCTACCGTATTTATAATACACGCATAGGATGGTTATATGGTTGTTAAGGTAAAATGGTGCGTACCTGCGGAATTATTAGATTCTTGGCCTGAATTCTCAGTTCGACCGCAGGGCGGTGATTCTTTGCTTGATTGGGTAGTCCATTCATCCACAGCTACCATAACCAGACATTTAAACCTTTACCATGACCCTGATTATTGAATCAAACATAAAGTAACAGACATTTGTAGGTAGCTCCTTTTATGTGGCTAGATATGAACAGCAGGACCAGCCGCCTACCTGCTAGCATGCCAGAAGTTAACTTATAATAACCATCATAACTCACTGTAAACAGACCCCTGGCTGGGGATTGCTTGAGGTCAGGAGTTTGAGACCAGCCTGAGCAAGAGTGAGACTTCGTCTCTACTAAAAAAATAGAAAGAAATTAGCTAAACTAAAAAAATATATAGAAAAAGTTAGCAAGCCATGGTGGCACATGCCTGTAGAGCCAGCTACTGGGGAGGCTGAAGCAGTAGGATCGCTTGAGCCTAGGAGTTTGAGGTTGCTGTGAGCTAGGCTGACACCATGGCACTCTAGCCCAAGAAACAGAGCCAGACTCTGTCTTGGAAAAAAAAAAAAAGATATTTAAGTTTTTAAAATTAACATACTGTAAACATTGTCTCACATTGGCAAATTACCTTTAAAATCTACTTAATAGAACTCTCATATATTAATACCAAATCTCATTGTTCCATTTTACATTTCTGTCTGGTTTTAAGTTTAGATAAGGAATGATTTCCAATCAGACTGGGCAAAAAATAGAACATACCTTTCTCCGATCTTTAAGAATCCTGTCCAGACTCTCTTCATTAACTTTGCTTGCATAATCATAAAAACTATTTAAGAGAAAAAAATATTTTATTAAAATCACATAGTATTGTGAAATGGACATGCTTAGCTATATGTGCCCATGGGGCATCTAACCCTAAGATATAACTGTTTGTTTTCAATAGGTATGTAAAGAGAACTTAGTCTAAATGCTTTCCTGATACAAGGTGTCTTTTGCATCAAAGAATACTCAAGAGATTGCTACAGTGAAAAGATATTACTTCTACACGTGGAAGGTGCTGATAGCAAGTAATTACAAAATGTGGGGTTTCAAATGGCTGTGACATCTTTTCTTTGTCTCTAAGTATCAATTACTTATGAAAAAAAGATAATGCAGCAGCTCATATTCTGAGAAATGAAGAAGGGAAAAAAACGTTTGTTGAATGCTTAATAAGACACTTGGCTGCATGCTTTCTCATGTTATTTCAGTTCATTCTCCCTTCAGTGCTGGGAGGTATTAGTTCAGCCCAATAATTCAATAAGTTTTATTCCCAATTTTGTAGATAAAGACACTGAGGTTAAGTGACTTTCCCCAAATCACAGAACTGGTAGATAGAAGGGCTGGAATTTGAAGCCATGCCTGGATAGGTTCAAACCTAATACACTCACCTCCAAACATACCAATGTGACCAGGATCCCTTGGTGCTCGGCCCAGGTGCAATGATGTATGGGCCTTTTCTACCACTGGGCATGGTCCTGCGAATGCTACCCCCTCTCCCACCACCATAAGCCCAGGCCTAATAAGGCAGGAAGGAGTTCAAGGTACAGCAAAAAACACTGAATTGGGAGCTGCTTCTCACTGTATGATGTGGGGCAAGTCACTTAACCTATCTGGCCTCCGTTCCTTTTTTTGCAAAGTAAGGAATTTGGAGTAGACAGATGATTTCTCAGGTTTCTTTCAGCTTTAAGAATTACAAGTCTATGATTTAAATTCAGTTAAATTCCTGTTCTGGTAGTATTCACTAACAGGTAGTATTTTAAGGGATTCCTCAGAAGGGGGAGGCAGGCACACTGAGTGAAGCTTTCAGAGTCAGGACCAAATCAGACACTCTCATGGACCAGAGAGAGGCGATGTGTGGACCAGGGCCTGAAGCATTTCACGCTCTCTGAGATTCTTTTCAAATGAACTGCTGCTTACTCATCTTGCTTCCCCACTCCTCCTCCAGTTATGTGTAAATCTAAGAGGTGAGGTCCTCAGCTATTCTGAGGCTTCGTTTATAGATAGCCATCTTACCTGTGTGAGGGTGAACTTGACGCAAGTTCCCAGGGGCTACTGGGTGCAAGGGGGCTCAGTGTTTGGGCCAGCAGACAGTGGGAAAGTGGTCAGGATGAAAGTTTGTAGGGAACACATAGCAGGGACAGTTAAGCAGAAGGGGCTGGAGGGTGTTAAGGAAGGAAGTGCTGACCAAGAATACTGCACTGTGCTCCTGTGGGCAGTACTGGAAGGAAATTAGTGGCCTGGCTTCTGGAAGGGATGGGAAGCAGGGCCTCATGGAGTTTTATGAAACACAGTCGAAATCATCATACCAGCCATTAAGTGGAAGGGTTCAGGACTGAGAAAGAAGGCACAGGCCTGGGCAGTGGTTTGCAGAGAATTCAGTGAGCGAGAGATACTAGACATTTTCTCCCTCACCCCTTTCCCTCCAGATGGTTCTCTACTATCTGCTTTCTCCCTTCTGAATGCTTCTCCTACCATTTTCCTCTTTCTGTCCTTTAGCTGGTCATAACACATAACTGGTATATAAAGTAGTCCCCCTCCTTGCCCATGGTTTCTCTTTCTGCGGTTTCAGTTACCCTTGGTCAACTGGGATCTGAAAATACTTTGAGAGAGAGAGAGATCACATTTACGTAACTTTTATTATAATAATTGTTATAATTGTTCTATTTTATTATTAGTTGCTAAACTCTGTGTTTAATTTATAAATTAAACTTTATCATAGATATGTATATATAGGGAAAAACACAGCATATATAGGGTTTGGCATCATCTGTGATTTCAGGCATCCACAGGGGGTCTTGGCACATATTCCCCTGCAGATAAGGGTGGGGGGAAACTACTGTATTCACTTAAATGTACACATAAAAAGAAAGCTTTATGTTCCCTTTCCTTACATTTTATTTTATTTTTTATTTTTTTTTGAGACAGAGTCTGGCTCTGTTGCCTGGGCTAGAGTGCCATGGTGTTAGCCTAGCTCACAGCAATCTCAAACTCCTGGGCTCAAGCAATCCTTCTGCCTCAGCCTCCCGAGTAGCTGGGACTACAGGCACGTGCCACCATGCCTGGCTAATTTTTTCTACATATATATTTTTAGTTGTCCGGCTAATTTATTTCTATTTTTAGTAGAGACGGGGTCTTGCTCTTGCTCAGGCTGGTCTCGAACTCTTGAGTTCAAACAATCCTCCCGCCTCGGCCTCCCAGAGTGCTAGGATTACAGGAGTGAGCCACCACGCCCGGCCCCTTTCCTTACATTTTAAAGTTGAACACTGAACATTTATTATTCCTCTTAAAAACACTCACTAAATTATATTATATCTTGATTAACTTTGTTCTCTACGGTTGAAGAGCCTTGATGGGCTGAAGGGGATTACTTCCGCTCTAAATCACTGAGGCCACAATTTATACTTTCCCCCTCCCCTTTTTCTAACCTAACATAGCGCCATGCACATAGCATGCAACAAATAAATGAATTTGGGTCCCCTGGATTATACTCTCAACTTTATAGCCATTATCAGCCTCAGGCCTAAATTCATAAGTTTTTTTTTTTGTTTGTTTGTTTTTTATCAATAAGGACTAATGCTACAGAGAAGGATGTGGCTTACCTAAAAAGTTTTGAACAAGGCTGATGGTTATGGATTTCTGTAAATAGAGAAGAGGAAATACATCTCAGTCATGTAAAACACAAGAAATTATAAAATAGGTCAAGATTTATTTTTTATCCCAAATCTCAGACAAGAAAAAGTCAGTTTTCCTTTCCCAAACAAGTGCTGCCTGCATACCAGTGAAAGCAGTGTGACTTCTTAACATTTACAGTAAGGTACACTTTCCCAGAACAAAGGAAACTGGAGAATGAAAGTTCTAGTTCCATTTGTCCATTTATGATGAGCAGACATTTGAGAGCTTTTATTCAGGGACATGCAACTATTGTGTGCCTTGCTCAATCTTACCTATTTAAACAAAGTATAATAAGAAAAAGTAACCACTTACTGGAAGCATGTAATAAAGGTGCCTAAAAGTGTGAGGGCAACCTAGGGAGAGAAGAACCTTAACCACCCCATCATCAATAACCAACTAACAACTCATGACAACTTGGGCCAGGTGTTTTGAACGGGAAGGAACTCTGGAAGTCTGTTAACCCTTTCAAAGATGGTCAGTACTGAGGGAAATAGTCATATATAAGGCAGATTGTAACAGCTTCTGAAAAGTTGCTGTAATTAAGCAGATTGAACAATTTCTTCAGGCTCATCAGGGGGCTTAGGGTCTGGGTTTCTTTATAAGACAATGAGACTAATTGGCCATTCAATTCTATTAATCACATTCTCCTAGAGAGTGACTCATCGCCTGCTGTTTAAAAAGCCATGGCCCCAGAGTACCAGGCTGTAATTTTAACTCAATTAAAATGAAACCACAGCCTTGAAGGACATGGTGCTATGCCCATTAGCTTCTGTATTTGTGTTAATGCTGCCAAAACATACGCATAAATGCAATATTTCCACAGGAAAGAAAAGCTCATTTGCCTAACTATACAAATAAGAAAACCTCATCTAGAAATATTTCCTTCTTTTATCACTAAAATTGATACAGTATAACATCATAAGTTATTCCTGAGGTACTGTTAGTAATTAGGATGCAGAAAATATGTAGCAAAAATATTACCTGGAGTTCAGGGAAAAGAAAAACTCAACTTCTACTTTAAAGGAAAGAATATTTTGAAGTTTTTTTTTTCCCCCTTTTGAAAAAACTTTAATAGATTTAGGTGGTACAAGTTGAATTTCATTACATGCATATATTGTATAGTGGTGAAGTCTGGGCTTTTAGTGTACCCATTACCTGAACAGTGTACATTGTGGCCCATAGGTAATTTTTCATCCCTCAGGCCTCCCATCCTTTCCCCTGTGGGGTCTCCAGTGTCCATTATACTACTCTGCGTGACCTTGTGTAGCCACAGTTTAGCTCCCACTTATAAGTGAGAATATGCGGCATTTATGTTTCTGTTCGAAAGGAAAGAATATTTTGTTTAATGAAATCCCTGGAGTAAGTGCTGAACTCTGAATGCAAACGCCTGTTACTAATACACCATAGCAGTTTCTTTCATGATTTACAACCTGGATTAGAAGCACACTAAAGACATGCTCTAGATACCATGTGGTGTTTTCTGAAGGAAGTTAAAGCTTTCTAAGCTTTTTTATGCAACACTAAACACTCCATGGAAAAATCAGGGCTATGGCCTTAAACATGAAAAAGCTGCAGATTGGAATGAAGTTGGCGGGCACATTAACTGACGGGTGGACCTTTGGCAACAGGCAGAGGTTAGGCAGCCTTGCCCGGGATTTCCAGTTTCCCATGCCTCGATAGCGCATCCACACGGTATAGACTGTTCTCCATGGATATATGGCTCCCTTCACACAGGTCTTTAACAACCCCTACCATGTGGTGCTGTTGTTCCTGCTTTTCTTCCTGGTGGCTGAGTCCAATACTTCCTCTTCTTCCCCCTTCCATTCTTTCCAATGACTGTTACTGCATCTCTTCATTAACTAAGGACACTTGTCTGTTGCTGCCTCCCTCTATCATTCCTAGAACTAAGGGGACAGCTCTGCTTAAAGTGAGTTAGCACCAACTCTTTAAATTAATATGTATTCAAAACAAGATGCAGAAATTTTGTGTTAAAAATGTAATACTCCATATTAAGTCGTCCCATTGCAGAAAGTAAGGTAAAAGGTGTCTGCGCATGGAGTCAGACATTTGCAACACAATAATAAATGTGGTCAATTTATTTTACTTAAAACATCTTATTCTGGAGGTTAAGCTATGCCAGAGAATCTCTTTGCACCATGGGTAGAGTCTCTTGCTCAAGGCACTTTCCCTTATGTTTGACCTTTCAACCCATGTTTTCCATAGTCCCTGGTTTATGTTTTTGGATTTTTTTTTTTTTTTGAGACAGAGTCTTGCTCTGCTGCCCAGGCTAACTAGAGTGCCATGGCATCAGCCTAGTCAGCCTAGCTCACAGCAACCTCAAACTCCTGCCTCAGCCTCCTGAGTAGGTGGGACTATAGGCACACACCACCACATCCTGCTAATTTGTTCTATTTTTAGTAGAGACAGGGTCTCTTTCTTGTTCAGGCTGGTCTTGAACTCCTGACCTCAAGCGATCCTGCCGACTCAACCTCCCAGAGTGCTAGGATTATAGGTGTGAGTCACTGGACCTGGCTGTTTTTGGATGTTTTCATTTTTAAAAGAAAAACATTACAATGGTGACAACATATTTAATATTAGCAAACATTTTGTCCATGAGATGTATAATCATTTCAAGGACCTGAATGTTGCTAATAAATTAAAGATTATACAGCAAGAGATGGTTGTCATGGCACTTACTATATTAACTGGCACACTCTATTGATTGTTATTTTTCCGTGTCTACAATACCATGAAAACTGATATTTACTGGTATTTACTGTGGTGTATGAATCAAAGGATCAGTACATTATGATATGTAGAATTTTAATTATTTTGCCATTCTATTTCATTAAAAATAAATAAATAGCCAGAATATTCATCAAAAGTGATATTTTTGTGATCATGCCAGATGAGAGAGTGCTTACTTTCATGGCTTTCTGTCAGTTAACTGCATCTGGCAATTTAACCTTCATCCACCAGATTAATTTTGAAAACCCAAGTGCAAATAATAAATAACTGCACAGATGTCCTATGAAACAAAATTCTGTTTTAGGATTTTAAGGAATTAAGCAAAACAAAAACAAAAAACCCTCAATGAAAAACAAGCTATATTCTGTATAAATATCAAGTCTTAGTAAGTCAATAATGTGGGGAGTGGGTTGAGTGGGTTTTACAGCTTTGATCCTTTAGGACTACCGTCCCCAATCCCCAGGCTGCAGCCCAGTACTGGCCCATGGCCTATTAGGAAAACAGGGCTGCACTGTTTTCCTACATCACTGCCTAAGCTCCACCTTCTCCTGCCCCACCCTCTACGCCACCCCCCAACTGACCATCCACCCCATGGAAAAATTGTCTTCCATGAAACTGATCGCTGGTGCCAAAAAGGTTGGGGAACCACTGCTTTACGAGACAGTTCAGTCTCCTATTTTTCCTCAACCCTAACTCCACCTCAATCCTAACCCTTGCCCCCTAACTCATGTACTAGAAGGCTATCAGAACAGGCTTGGAATTGATGACTTGCTTCCAACATGACCTAACCTGCCTGCTGTATTTCAAACCACAAACCACTCATCTTCATGTATTCTGTATTTTAGTCACATAGAACCAGGCCAGATGTTTTATACAGCCCTGCATGTTTTATACACTCCTTACTGTGTTCCCTCCTAGGTTCACCTTCTTGCCAACATCTTTGCTGATTTCCCCACTAGTAGTTTTTCTCTCAACTCTGTACACTTACAGGATTTTCTTTATTCCTTTCTTACAGCACTCATCTTGCACTGTGTGGTATTTCTTCGTACCTGTCCTACCCCTAGAAGGCAGGGATGATTCTGAGTATTCCTCTCACTGGCCAGCACATGCCCCACACATGGAAGTTCTTTAATAAATGTTTGCTGCATAAATAAATGAAATATTCCTTGCTTTCTTCTATCAGGGTGTGCTGTTCGTGATCTGCCTGAAGTGCACCTGAAAGGACTATGATCACTATTTATCAAAAGGAGACTGATCTAAAGAGAGTAGATGCATCATCCATAACGACTCCTTCCTATTCCTCAGCAATCTCCCCCAAAGTGGCTGTGGCTTATCTCTCAGAAGCCTGTGTAGGGTTAGCAAACATCCCATGCAAACAAATGTGAACACCTTTGCTGGATGCCTCTAGGAAGAAGTGGCACAACATATCCATTGCTTATAGTATGAGGTGATACTGGCAACAGGGAGAGCCTAATTTGCAGACTTGAGATTCACTGTTTTTTTATTTCTTGAGACAGAGTCTGCTCTGTTGTCCAAGCTAGAATGCAGTCATCATAGCTCACTGCAACTTCAAACTCTTGGGCTTAAGTGATCCTCCTGCCTCAGCCTCCCAAGTAGCTGGGACTATACGTGCATGCCACCATGCCTGGCTAATTTTTCTATTTTTTGTGCAGATAGGGTCTTACTATAATTGCTCAGGCTGGTCTCAAACTCCTGGCCTCAACTGATCCTCCTGCCTTGGCCTCCCCAAGTGCCAGGATTATAGGCATGAGTTACCATGCCCATCCTTCACTGTGGTTTTGAAAAGATTATCAGTCAATGGTCATGCTTGAGGCTCTGACTTGAGGGGGGAGGGGGGGCATGGGCAATATACATAACCTTAACACTTATACCCCCATAATACGCTAAAATAAAAAACAAATAAGTAAAAAAAATAAAAGATTATCAGTCAAATGGTCACACAGTAATTCGGTAAAGTCAGACCAGCTGGTGAATAATAGGAGACCTACGTGTATACCTATGCATTGTAAGTTTACACTGACTTATAAAAACATCTCATATCATGTATAGTGCAAATAATTTTAGTTTTTTTATATGCACTCTTTTAATCCTTTAGATTAAAGTTAGTTAAGAGCCAAAGAACAGTAAGTATTATATACAAAAAGGATATTTCTAAGGTCAAATGATAAATTTACTTACCAATTACTTGCAGAAATTCTGTGTTGCTGATTTGTGAGTCACTGATGCTAAAGGTTTCCTCTTGTCTTACCTCTCCCAGCAAAAATCCTTCCTAAAAGAAACAAAAAAATAGGTGCAGACTAAAAATAGATGATTTTTACTGAAATAAAAAGGAATTGAGGACATATGACTTTATAATAATTTCAACAATAATCCAAATCAGCTTGCCATGTGAACCAGCTACTATTCTATAAACCAAGTAGACTCAAGCAATCTGAGGGTATCTATAATTGGATTGTTTGAAAAAAGAATTCCATAACAAGATAAAATATTATTTTAATCCCTTTAAGTCTTCCCTGTTTTTTGAAGTAAAAATAAATATAGTGAATTCATCACCTAAATCCTAAGTCTCATAAACAATGTCAAAAAAGCTCAAGAAGCAGAAACATGCTCAAATTGTTTTCTTGAAACAGCATACAATTTATTTGTTTTAAAAACACTGCTAATGATGAAAGGATAAAGAAGGTAACACAATGATAACTACATGCTCTTGTAGAGGCTGGCATAGAAAATTAGGATTTCAGCAAATAAATTTCATGTTTACATGAAAATTTTTCTTTAATAAATGCAGAGGTTAATCATTGACACTTTTGGAGAACATATACCACCCCAATCAATTCCAGATTACTTGGCATATTACCTACCATTTGAGTATTTGCTGTTATATTCAGCACAAGCACAGTTGGAGAAGATATACCCCAAATGTCAAAATAACTTCCTTTAGAGAGTGTAAGTTAATAAGCTGTCCTGAAATCTCCCCAGACACTCACATGGCTTAGTCCTTCCCTTCATTTAGGTCTTCACTCACATGGCACTTATCAGAGAGGCCTTGCCTGACCAACAGAACAGAAACAGCATCTGCCAGGCACTCTCTCCTCTTTGCCCTGCATTCTTTTTCTTCTTTGTCTTCTCACTATATTTACATAAATGAATACATTTATTTATATCCCCTGCTAAAATGTAAGCTCCATCAGAGCAGGGACTCAGTGCTTGTTTACTGCTATATTTCAGCACCTAGCACAGTGCCTAACACATAGTAGGTACTCAACAAATACTGGATGAATAAATTTGTTGAAACAATGCCCTTATATTATACCCTTCTATTCTAGGTTGATCATTCAAATCAATTAAAGAAGTTTCCTAGTTTAAAAACATTTCCAGCTTAAAGTGAGACTCTGTGGGGATGAAGGGGGAGACAGATGCTTTACAGCCTAGTTTTTGTATTTGCTTCGGGGAGGAGGAGTGTCCTAAAATACTAAATCATCACGTACAGGGCATCTCAAACTTGAGAAATATAAAGATCCTCTTAAAAAAGAAAAATTCTTTCAGACCCAAAGGAGTACCTATGACTACTAGTTTGAGAAATACCAACTAAATAAGTTTGTTTTACCCTCTGAAAGTCTTTCAATTATTATGAGTTCTCGTGAGAACCACAAAAGAAGTTTTATCTTGTAACAAGCAAAAAACAAACAAAAAAAACGTTTTTAAATCAAAGTGAAAAAACAATTTAATATTCCCATAGAACTTTAGACATTGAGAAAATAGCTAGATTCCTAGTGTTCTATAGTCCAGGATTGTTAGATTTAGCAAAAAATATATAGCACACCCAAGTAAATTTGAATTTCAGATAAATAACTTTTATGTAAGATATAGGATATACTTATACTAAAAATTATTTGCTATTTATGTAAATTTAACTGAGTTACCTATATTTTATCTGGTAATCTTACAATAGTTCTCAGTGTGAGAAACAGTGATATAAACCTACAATGACATCAGGACATTCTAAAGCCAAGTACAAAATGAGTGTTTATTTATCTGTTGTTCTGGATTACCTAAACCACTGTTACTTCATAGCAGGAGTAGGCAAACTACAGTGTGAGGGCTACATCCAGCCCAATGCCTGTTAATGTATGGCCTGCAAGCCTAGAATGGTTTCTACATTTTTAAATGGTTGTAAAAAAACAGAAATATTTCATGAAATGTGAAAATTATATGAAATTCAAGTTTCAGTGTCTATAAATAAAGTTTTATTGGAATATAGTCACCTTCATTCTTTTACTGTCTATAGCTGCTTTCTCCCTACAACAGTAGAGTTGAGTAATTGCTATAGAAACCATATGGCTTGCAAAACCTAAAAACTTTATTATCTAGCCCTTTACAGAAAAAGTTTGCTCACCCCAGCTCTACAGAATAACGAGTGATTTCAAATTAATTTCTTGCCTGGACAAAGGTTATGTACCACAAAAGTAAATTGTTGGTTCTTCAACTTTAAAATTGAAATTATTTTCAAGTTTCCCACATCTGTAATTGTGGTAAGGTTAATATAACCAGGCATGGTCATATAAAACACAGTTGCAAACTATTGGCACTGGTGAAAATTTCCTTAACAGAGTAGATATTGAGGGGATGTCTCTTTAATTAAGTTAGTAACAATCTAAGTAATATAGCCATCACACAGAGGTTTGTAGAAAAACTTCATTTTTCAACAGGTGGCTGCTTATTCTTACAATAATCTTGCTTTTGCATAAATTGTGATACTACCAGGTACTCTAAGAAATAAACAGGGTAAAGAAGCATCACTGAACCTATATTTAATAGTCCATGGACACTAGGGGTATCACAAACCATCTACATACAGAACTGCATTACATTATTAAATAACTGGCTGCAGTACCATAGGCCATAGTGTCCAAAGTTGCCCCTGGAAAAGCCCATGCTGCATATATTCCTATCATTAACCTCTACCATCAACACTGAAGAGATGAAAGGTACAATAATTTAATTCCATTCAATTTACTAATGGAATCACCTCTCTGTGAAATGAGTTTTTATTAATGGAAGCTAAGATTGCTGACATCAAACCAAATCCTGTTCCTCCTTCTGCAGCATATCATTTTGCTTTGTAATGACAACCACAAAAAACCACACACATTTAATGAATTTGAATAATTCACTATTATCATTTAAAATAATCCCCCAATTTAATGGGCAAATTAAATACTCCCTTTAAGAGAAAAATTATCTAGTTTCACAAAGAATTTCCAACCAGAGGCCAGTGACATTAAAAGACAATTCAAAAATAAAGACATTGAAACAGAAAGGCTTTGCTCCCCCTGCGGACTCCAAAGCCTATGCATTTCCGATCACTCATTCGTGGGCCTGTCACTTCCCTATTTTACTGTGTTCCTAGAACATTCGCCAAAGAACTAAACATGCAACTTCAGGGAAATGCAAATAGACCCTGCACCTAATGCTTCTGTTTACATTCTCCATTTTCCATCGGGACGAAGAAAACACACAACCGTGTCTAACAAGTATGAATAGTGACAGCCATGGCTTTACTCTTTGCACCCGACAACATGTGAGACCAGCGGGCGGGGCTGAGTGCCTCGCCTCCTAGACTAAAAGCCCGGCCTCTGGACTCCTTCCCGACCTCGGTCGCCCCTCGTTAAGTCTAGCACCCTCATTCTCAGGGAGGGGCAGGCACTCGGTTTCCACCAAGTAAGACTCCTGGCACTGCCGGGGGGAGGCAGGCGGGGCAGCTTTGCTGGACCAGAGACGGTAGTCCCGGGACGGCCGGGCGGTGGAGGGCGCCAAGCGAGGGGGCCAGTCCCAGGGGCGAAAGAGCCCCGGGAGTCAGGAGCTCGCCGGGGGCGGGAGCCGCCCCGGTCACTGGCTCCTCTGGCCGGCCCTGGTGCCCGGGGGTGGAGCCGCAAGTGGTCCCGGCTTGGCCGCCAGCGCCGGCCTAATGCGGAGGCTGAAAGCCCCCAGCGGCCGCGGCAGGGGGCCCGGCACCTACGTGGTCGGCGTTGCTGTTGGCGCTGTGGAAACACACAGCGCTGAAGGTGTAGCCCGAAATGGAAGCCGCCATGATGGAAATCTCCAACTTCCCCATCATGCCCCGCGGCGGGCGCACAGCCTTCCGGCCGGCCCCGCCCCTCAGCATCCTGGGAAATGGAGTCTGCGGCGGCGGCGGTGGCCGTGGTCCAGGGGCCGAGCGCCCGGCCGCGAGGGCTGGGAAAGGGCGGCTTTCGCAATCAAAAGGACCAAGGCACTGTAACCTTCGCTGGGGTGTTTCTCCCGGCACGCCTCAGACAACACCTCCTCTGTGTGGCCCTTGACAGTTTCCCCACACAGTTCTTTCCCTTTACAAATCAAGCTCTTAGCGTGAAAAGCAAACACCTACCGAGCTCAAGGGTAAAAGCATGGAGATGATTCAGGCCATTGAACCGTGTTGGGTTGGACACAGGAGTAACATGATGTGATATCAATTTTAACATGACCACTCTGGCTGCAAAGATAAGACTATAGTCCAGGGACCTGTGGGGGGGGGGTAGAGAAGAGGGAAAAGGGAGGTTATCACCACAGTCCAGAGGGCCACCTCCCTTTCTCTCACTCCCTACATTTGATCAGCTAGCACAATCTTCAAAATATACCCCGAACCCTACAATTCACCACCAGCACATCTACCACCCTGGTCCAAGCCACCATCATTCTTCGCCTGGATTACTGTAACAGGCTCTAAGGCAGAGGGTCGGCACTGGTGGCAGTTTTGCCCCTCTGAGGGTCTTTGGCAATGTTTGGAGACATTTTCAGATGTCACAATTTGGGGGGAGATGCCACTGGCACCTAGGATGCTAAACATCCTACAATGCACAGGACAGGCCCACAACAAAGAATTATTAGTGGTGATGAGGCTGAGAAACCCTGGGTTCCTGCTTCTGCCTTTAACTCTTTCCTTGCCAAATCTAATCTCAACATAGCAGCCCAAATGGTCATGTTATCTTAATATAAAATTTAAATCATGTTGCTTCTTGGCCAAACCCCAAACCTTACCATGTCCTGGCCCCTGTTACTCATCTGATTTCATTTCCTGCTACTGCCCCTTTCGTTTACTCAGCTTCAACTACAGGCATCTTTCTGCTTTCTGGGTATCCCTACCTCATTTCACCTTAGGGCCTTTGCACTTGCTGTTTCCTTTGCCTGGAATGCTCTCTTCCTAAACAGTTGCAAGGCCTACTATCTCTGCCCTAGCTAGATGCTTTGATGTGCCACCCAGACACCCCTCCACTCCCCCACCCCCTGCAGGATTGATTGACTTCCTGCTAGGGAGCAACCCTTAGCTGTCAGCCCTCTTGTGGAATTATCCTCAGTAGAAGAGAGTCTCATTTCCTAAGGTCACACCTCCTTTCCTAGGCAACCAGCATTCAATGCCTGGTCAATGTAGATGAATAAAGGCCCAGCTCCTTCATTCTAACTTGGCACAATTCCAAAGGGTCATTCCAACTTTACAGTGCCCAAAATAGGGGACAGTGCAGAGAGGATTTGCTGATGTTCTATTGTAATGGTACCCCAACACAACTACTTCATTCATTCAGTCCTACTTCTTTTCCTTCCCCAATAGGTGTTGATCCTGAGAGCACTCCCTAACTGACTTCTTCCATGTTCATCTCAGTCTCAGACTGGGTTCCCTGAGAACACACCTATGACAACCTCTTTTAGGTTTTCACTCAGTGCCACTCCCTCAGAGAGTCCTTCCATGAACCCTCACAAGGACTGCAACCTTCACCCCACATTCTCCATATTACTTCCCTGCTTTACTTTTCACTTTACCACCTAACACTATCTAGCAGCACCTCTGTTTTATTAATTTTTCATGTCTATCATCTTTACTTCTCCACCAGCATGTTCTGAACTTCACAAAGACAGGGATTCATGTTTGATTTGCTTACCATTGCATCTCCATCACCTGGGAAAAGCCCTGGCATGTAGACGTTGCCTGACACATGATTGTTGAATTGATGCTGTATGAAAAAGTAGGACAGTCCTAGGAAAGATGGTTGTGTTTAATCAGCTTGGTGCTGAAGCAGGATGGAGACAGAAGTAGCTGATAAAAGTGTAGGGTTGATAAGAAGTAAGTACTTGGGTTTACCCACTGAAGAAACAACTTGGGATTCAGGAGAAGAGGAAAGAGAGTCAGATGGAGTGGCAGAGTTTGAGGGTGAAGGAGAAAGAGAGTGATAAGAGATGAGTAGCTACAGTGAGATTCTGGAATTTGGGATGAGGATAAAGAATTTTTAGGCTCTAGTATTGATCAGCACGGGATTTGGCCTGCTTCATTTCCGACGGTGGCCATTTCACCCCTCCTTAGGCAACCTGGTGGTCCCCTGCTCCGGGGAGGTCACCATATTGATGCTGAACTTAGTGCCAGCACCCAATCAGCATAGCACACTACAGCCCAGAACTCCTGGACTCAAGCAATCTTCCTGCCTCAGCCTCCCAAGTAGCTGGGACTAGAGTTGCACACCACCACAACTGGCAGGCTCTAGTATTGTATGTTGTGTGATGTAATCCCTCTTGACTGTCATCCTCATGAAAACCTCAGCAAAGCATCTATTGTGATAAAGCACACTCGTGTAGTGGTCATGCTTGAAAACTTTATAGATTTCTTGGGTTCCAATCTCAGCTCCAGTACTGTGTAACCTTGGGCAACTTCTATGTGCTCTAGGTTTCTCATGTGTAAAATGAGGATAATACTAGTATCCCACTTAGTATCCCACTAGTATCCCACTAGTATCCGCTATCTTGAGGACTAACTGAGACAACAATATTGGGTGTTCTGAACACAGTTCCTTGGATACAATAACAGACCAATGATTGTTAGCCATCATATCTACTATCATGAAGTAGTTTAAACAATAAAAGATTTATAGTGTTGAAAAGATCTCCGAGTATAGTATATCACTACAATATTGTTAAATGAAGATGCAAGTTGCAAACATGCAAATGGTAAGATTCCATTTATATATATCTACACAAATCAAGTATTTCTGCATGTGTATAAATGCATGCAAGTGCCATACTCCACTATGATGGGCCTGAAAGTGGGAATAAGAAAGTCTACTTTCATTTGGATTATGCCTGCCCATTTTCTAGCTGAAAAAACTTGAGACTTAAGAGGTTTAAATTAAGTTACTTGATTAAAGTCATATCTTGTATGGGCTGAGTTGTGATTGAAGTTAAAGTCTGTTTGACTCCATTGTGCATGATCTGCCAGGAAAAATGCAAAGGAAAGGGGTGAGTAGTGTCAGACACTGAAGGAAAGGAAAGCTGGCTGAGTCTTGGAGGACTTTCTGAAGGAAGAGAACGGAGCAAGCCGTAATTGGTGCCTGAGAAGGGGCCTAGTGCTGAATGGTTGTGGGGAGGTTTACTTGGAAGCAACTGCAATGGCCGCAGTGAACAGAGAGCTGTGAGCATGAATGTCTGAAAAGAAGGTAGAGCAGTGATGACAGGCTGAGCTCAGAGACTAAGAGGAGACCAAGAGGAGCTATGCAGGGAGGAACAGACAAGGACGATGCTCTGCTTTGGCTGACAGTGTAGATGGTCAGGGACCAACTGACTGCAAACACAGGGAAGAAAGGGTTTGGAGGCATGGGGTAGAGGGGAAGGTAGTGCAAGTGGGTTTGGTTTACTGTAACAAGGAACATCCAGGCAGCTGCAATAAAAATCTGGAGCAGGGGCAAGAGGTTGGAATAGGAAGTCACTAATAATAAGAACAATAGCTAATATTTATTGAATACAGACTATATGTCAGGCTCTGTTCTAAGCCCTTTGACATGTACAGTGTATTAACTTATCTAATCTTCCCAACAGCTCTCTAAAGTAGACTCATTTTTGAGTTGAAGAAACTGAGCTAACATTTATTGAGCATTTACAATGTGCCATACAGGTAGGGTTTTACAGGAATGACCTTGTTTACTCTCTACAGGTGCCTTAATATGACAGGTGCTATTATTATCCTTCTAAGGATGTTTTAGGGTGGGCAAACTGAGGCCTCGAGAAGTTAAGGAACTTGCTCATGGTCACACATGGTGAGGCCAGGGTTCAAAACCTGGTAGTCCAACTCCAGAGCCATGTGCCTAGCTCCCTTTTTAAAAGGCTCACTTAGTAGAAGGTGGAAGGAAAACAAGAAGGGGTTTTCAAGGATGATGTGCTCAGCGATGTTGATAACTGCAGAGTGAAGGAAGGTAAAAGCCTAGAACTTGACCCTTGGGTTTGCTAATCAGGAAGTGTTTGAGAACTATTGGAAGCACAGTTTCAGAAGAGTTGTGAGTAAGGTGCCAGGCTGCAGGGATCGGAAGAGTGAGAAGGAGATAGGCACCCCAGAGCACTCACAATCTCCTTCCTGCCTCATGTAATGGGCACCCAGTGAGTGGGAGGGACTGTGTTCCTTGGCACTTTCCTGTTTCTTCCTGGTTTGGGGCAATTCTGCTCAGAGCTTCTGCACTCCCTACCAAGAATCTCATCACCCTGGGTGATGAGAGGTGGTGCCCCACACAGCCCTCAGGACTAAACAGCCAGAGTAATCCTGCCTGGAGCCAGAGAAGGAACTCTGTATAAACCGTGGGGTTTTCCAGGGCTCCATACCAATGACTTTTTATAGCTTTCATCACACATAGCAAAAACATCTTAAGTGTTGGCAACACACCAGGTTGAAGACAGGCTTATCTTTCATGGGTGCTTTTTAATTAGAATCTAAAACTTTTTAAGACCCACTTGGTCGCACTCAAGCTTGCTTTCTCTAGCATCTAGAGCCTAGAAAAGATAAAAAAAACCACCGGCCAAGGGCAGCAGTAATTGGCCATGGCATCCGGTAGTTTTATTGCTCTGTAATAAGGTTACTTACGCTCTTCCTTGAGTTCTTTAATCACAGTGCACACGGATTCCCATCAGCCTTTTACCTTATCCTGTCACTAGTGGTTGCCTGAAGATCTTACATGGATTCCCATCTGCCTTTTACTTTATCCTCTCACTAGTGGTTGCCTGAAGATCTTGGAACACCATGTATAGGAGGAGTTGTGCATTTGGTCCCAACCAGGATTTCTGTGAGTTGGAAATGCAACTGTTGATGCCTTTTATCTCTGGGGACTTGCATTATAATTGGGTTTCTGTTTGCTCAGTCAACAGAAACGTGGCCTAGGAAACAATTTCCTTTTAGTTGGAAGGCAGTCTTGCTAGGGGCCTTTGCGGTCCTAATCCAGGACATTGGACCACCAGTATTTCATTGCTACTACAGAAGATACCCAGATCTTTGGCCATAAGATTTTTTTGCATTATCCTGCAGAACAACCAAAGGCAGGGAGACCAGTACAGGCAGATGCAAAATCTCAGGTTCCTGGGTTGGGAGCAATCTTGTAGACCAAGTCACTATTTGTTTTGAGCATGGTACAGTAAGGAAGCTGAAGCACACAGAGACTGAGACAAGGCCAGGTGCCTGGTTCGAGGCAGAGCTGAGACTTATCCAGGCATCTTGACCCTCACTTTAGGACTCCTTCTTCCACCACACACAGATCCCGGTGGTTGGCGTACTGTGGGAGTCGTAGGGCATTTCCTTTCCCTGGGCATAAATTCCCACGTCCACTGATGACATCAAGTCAGAAAAGGCCAGAATGCTGTTTTCAAGTCAGAAGACCAGCCACAGATGAAACTGGCCTCCTTGCCAGGAAGCCCAACAAGGCGATGGTCTGTCCACCCACTCCCCAGCGCTGCTCAGTGTGGAGAGAGGCGGCGGTTTGTGCGTTTGGGTCGGGCGGTGCTGGCTGCAGATCTCCACAGTGGCTTTCCCACCGCCAGCCCATTTCCAACACGCAATACCTCGAGAGGTCCCTTACAAACAGCAGTTCCCAAATACGGTCGCGCTCGGACCTCGACCGAGGGGGTACATCTAACGCTGGCTGGAGGGCGCAGTGGGGAGGCGAGGCTTTGCCTGGCTCACGCCTGTGCGGGGCGCCCTGACGAGCGCAGAAGGACCCGCGGCTCTCCAGCAACTCGGCCCGCCCAGCGCAGGGCCCGGAGCAGTAGAGAAGGCGGCCTCCCGCCGCCTAGAGGTGCCAGCCTGCACGTCCGCTCTGCCCGCCCCACGTCTCTATGGCGGCCCCAACGGCCGTCCTGGACGCGGAGCGAGATGAGCGCGGGCGCAGACGGCGGCGGTGGCGCTGCGGTGGCGGTGGGGTCCTCTGAGGGCGGTCCCCTGGAGGATGGTTTTGTCCCGTCGGCGCTCGGGACCCGCGAGCAGTGAGTGTGGCGTAGGGGAGGGGAGGCTGAGCGGCGCTGCCCTGCCTGAACCCCGGAAAGGAGATGACGGGGTGGGGACCCGGGGACTCCCGGGGAGAGGACAGCCTTGGGGGCGTGACAGGATGAAGCCTGAAGGGCCACCTCGGGGGAAGTTAGAGGGGATTTGAAAGGATGGAATCCCCAGTGGCCACCCTGGGGCGGTTAACTGATGTTTCAAGGGATTGGAGCCTAAAGGGCTGGGGGTTGCGGGATGGGCTTTGAAGCTCTTGGGGAGGCCTTTTAGGGGTCTTGAACCTGAGGGACGGGAAGGGAGGGTGGGCGGGGCAGACGAATAGGGCTGGTGGATGAGGCTAAGAGACGAGGGCAGAGGGCGGGTGAGAAGTGCTGCCTGAGAGCTGAAAAGGCCAAGGGTACGAGGGTAGGGATTCAGGAGCTGGAAGGAGTGGGATGGAGGATGATTTGAGGAGGGAGCGAGGACATTGCGGGGCATTTTGGGGTAAGAGAAAGCGATCTGACCTAAAACAGACACTCAGTAGTTATTTAATGAATTGATGGATGGATGAATGAATGACTGTGGGGAACGGTTAGGATGAGAGGTAACTTGGAGGGGTAAGGGCGTGCAGGGATTCTGGAGAGGGAGTAGGAAGATAGGGCAAATGATAGGGGGGAATGTGCTTAAAAGGATTAAGAGATAATCTAACAGGAGGCCTAGAAGACAGTAAAAGGTAGAGACAAATAGCACAGGAATGAAACTGGTTTAAGACTTAAATCTTAAACTTAACCTTTAAGCAGGTCTTATCTTTGGTGAGTTCCATCCTGAGCAACCGCTGTACTGGTAGAAAAAGTGTGTACACATTTGAGACCAAATGTGCAGTAATAACTCTATGCTTGTTTCATCAAGTTTTGGACTTAGGTCTGGGACATAGAGATCCTTGGACTAACGTTTCTTTGTATTTTTGTAGGCTAAAGCTTATATAGCATTTGTTATGGGACAGATTTAGTTCTAAGTGCTTTAGATGTACAGTGTAAACTTATTCTGCTTGCCCGTGTCTTTCATTCTTTTAAGCCAACGATGTTAAAAGATTGAGCTATGTCCACTTGTTGATAACACTAGTAATGTTTTAAACTGCTGTCTTAAATAGTTCTGTAATGTATGTATTACATTATATGTATTGAAATACACATTTAATTCATAATACAGTTTAATTCAAGAATCTCACTTTGCATTTCATTGTTTACATAGTTGGGATGCTGTCTATGAGAGAGAACTGCAAACTTTTCAAGAATATGGAGATACAGGAGAAATCTGGTGAGTTAGAGAAAAAATCAAATTATTATCCAGAAGATTGTATGTGTGTGTGTGTGTGTGTGTGTGTGTGTTAAGTATATACATATATGCATTTTTTAAGTGCTTATACCCAAAGAAAGACAGCCTAAAAATCTTGGGAACCCTGGATTGAGTCTGGCTTTACCAGGTAGATTTAAAGTATCTCTCTCTTTTCTCTTTGAATAACTCAGATTTAAATTTCATGAGACTATTAGGAAAGCACTCTTATCCTGTAGTTGTCCATTTTCAATAAGTGATAAAATTTTGAGCCTCCAACATGTTAAAGTGTTAATGCTGATGTAGAGAAACATTAGTAAGTAACATACTGACTTTGTCTATTCTCTGTATTCCTGGAGGTATTTTGTCTTAAATAACAGTAGAGACAATGCTTAAGTAGTCATAGACATTCTTTTTTAAATAAGACTTTGAGCATATGGTGTAAACAGCTAAATGGAATATAGTTGTGAGTTTCGCTTTGTAATCCTATCGTTTGATTAACCTTTCTAACAGGTTTGGAGAAGAGAGTATGAATCGACTAATAAGGTGGATGCAGAAACATAAGATTCCATTGGATGCTTCAGTGCTTGATATTGGAACTGGAAATGGTGTTTTCCTGGTTGAACTTGTTGGTACTTTTAGTATTTGTTTGTTAGAAATAAAGTTTAAAATGAAATTGAGGATATTAACCATCTAAATATAAAATAGTAAAGCAGTCATACTTTGAGAAGTCAGATGGTACAAAAGGGAGGGTACATGGATTGTAAGAAGCACTAAATGAGAACCCAAGGGATCTGAGTCCTAGTCTTGGCCCTTCTGGTTGTAGCTTTGACTTTGAACGAGCCACTTACTTTTTGTTGGCTTCAGTGCTTTCCTAAGGGTTTTCACTAAGATCTCTATTGGTTTCTTCTAGCTTAAAACTCTGGAAATCTGTGTGCATAAAAGGAACCTTTTGCAATTTCAGTAGGACATATATACCTTATCTTGGGTGAGCAAATGGTTTAAAAAGAGCATTTGTCCATAGAATTATCATTGTTGTGTGTCTGTAGTGTACTCATTGCTATAGTATATGCAGTAGAGGAAGTATAAGATGTAATCTTCATCCTAGATAGTTTTACAGTCTAATTAGTAAGGAAATATATGTAAGAGTGAAATTTGTTGAGTGACCACCACATGCCAAGTCTCATGGTAGGCATTGGCAACATGAAAATTTAGATCTTGTGCTTGAATTATTTACAGGACAATAGAGTATGGATAGACAGTTATGCTGTAGCTTGATGCATGTGATTATAGATTTACTGAATATAGAAAGGGGAGTGATAAACTTTGAGATAGAAGGATATAAAAGGATCCTGGAGGGGTTAGTATCTAAGTTGGGTGGAAATTTCAGGGGCAGTGTGTGGTGACCAGGTGTACCAGGTGTACACCAGGAGTGTAAATAGGGAGAGAATTTCAACTAATGGAAACAATATCTAAAGGCAGAAAGGTTGAAGCAGAATATCATGTCCTGGAAAATAAAGTATATGTGGGGGCTGGACAGAGCTGAGGATTAAGTTAAAGGTAGGAGCCATGTCATATTTGGCCATGCTTAAGAACTTAGATTTTGTTTTGCTTTCAGGTTATGGGTAGCCATTACAATGTTTTAAGCACCAGAATATGATTAAAAAAATTTGTAATAAACTCTTTTGAAGCATTGAGGTATAACATATGTACATTAAAGTGCACAAATCAGAAGTATAAAACTCAATGAATTATCGTGATGTGAGTACACCCATGTAACAATCACCCTGGTCAAGAGTTTATACTCTTGTTGGCAGTGTGTAAAAATTCCAGTTGTTCCACATTCTTGCCAACACTTGGTTTTGTTAGTTTATACAATTTCAGCAATTCTGATAGGTGAGTGGTGGTAGCTCATGGTTTTATTCTTATGTTCCTGATGATTATTGATGTTGAGCATATTTTCATATGCTTTTTGGGTATTTAGCTATTCTTTTTTGTGAAATGCCTGTTCAGTTTTTTTGCCCATTTAAAAATTGGGTTGTCTGTCTTTTCCTTATTGATTTGTAGGAGGTCTTTATGTATTCTGGATACATGATCTTTGTATTGCAAATGTCTTCATCCTATCTGTGGGTTGCTTTTGACTTTTGTAATAGAAACTTTTAAAGAATAGAAGTTCTTCAATTTTAATGTTTAGGTCTGTTTCTGGATTCTATTCCTTTAGGTCTTTATGCCAGTACCATACTTTCCTAATTACTTCCACTTTATAAGTCTTCATACTTCCATTAGTGTAAGTTCTCCAACTTTGATCTCTTTTTCAGTGTTGTCTCTGCTATTGGTGATTAGCTCTTTATTTAAATTATCACTTTCCAGATTAAAAAAACAATTGGGATTTTGATTGGGTTACATTGAATCTATAGGTCAATTTGGGGAGTATTTATATCTTTGTGATATTGAGTCTCTGAATCTGTAAACATGTTGTATTTCTCCACTTATTTAGGTCTTTATTTTCTCTCAGTAATATTTTGTAGTTTTCTCTTTAGCCATCTTACATATCTTTGTTAGAGTTTTTCCTAGATGTTTGTTTTTTTGGTTGCAATTGTTGTTATGCTTTTTTAAAAATTTCAGCATATTATGGGGGTACAAATGTTTAGGTTACATATATTGCCCTTGCTCTACCATCCCCCCCAGTCAGAGCTTCACATGTGTGCGTCCCCCAGACGGTGTGGATCGCACTCATTATGTATGTATACACCATCTGCCTGATGCCCGATAAATGTTATTCCTATACGTGCACTTAGGTGTTGATCAGTGAAACCAATTTGATGGTGAATGCGTGTGGTGCTTATTTTTCCATTCTTGGGATACTTCACTTAGTAGAATGGGTTCCAGCTCTATGCAGGAAAATACAAGAGGCACTATGTCACTATTGTTTCTTACAGCTGAATAGTACTCCATGGTATACATATACCACATTTTATTAATACACTCATGTATTGATGGGCACTTGGGTGTTGTTAGGCTTTTTAAGATTTCATTTTCCAATAGTTTATTGCTAGTATATAGAAATATAATATATTTTTATGTTGACCTTGTATCCATTAAGTTACATATTAATTCTAATAGTTTATTTATAGGTTCTTTTGGACTTTCTGTGTACGCAGCAATGTTGTGTGCAAATAATAGTTCTATTCTAATTATGTTTATTAAAATGCTATGTACTGTCTAGTACAATATTGAATAGAAATTGTGAAGGCAGATAGCATTGTAACATAGCCTATTATAAGAGGAAACCTAATATTTCACCAGTGATGTTAGTTGTAGGTTTTTATAGTCTTTATTGGATTGAGGAAGTTTTCTTCTATTCCTAATTTGTTAAGAGTTTTTAATCATGAAAAAATGTTGAAGTCAATCATTGGCTTTCTTTGCTATCTATCGAGATGACCAGATGATTTTCCTTGATTCTATTGATGTTGAATTTTTTTTTTTGAGACAGAGTCTCACTTTGTTGCCCAGGCTATAGTGAGTGCCGTGGCGTCAGCAACCTTAAACTCCTGGGCTCAAGCAATTCTGCTGCCTCAGCCTCCCGAGTAGCTGGGACTACAGGCACGCGCCACCATGCGTGGCTAATTTTTTCTATATATATATTGGTTGGCCAATTAATTTCTTTCTGTTTATAGTAGAGACAGGGTCTCACTCTTGCTCAGGCTGGTCTCGAACTCCTGAACTCAAACGATCCTGCCTCGGCCTCCTAGAGAGCTAGGATTACAGGCCGCGCCTGGCCATGTTGAATTTTTTTTTAAGGGGAGAGTCAGTCAATTTTTTTTAATCGACATTTTTATAGAGAATTTTAGTGATTGATTGATAAATGTTAAAACAGACTTCTGTTCCCAGAGTAAACCAATTTTGATTGTGGATTTTTTTATATCTTGTTGGATTTGATTTGGTAATATTTTGTTTAGGATTTCTATAGCTTTATGAGAGAGATTGGCCAGTAATTTTCCTTACTTGTAATTTTCTTGTAAGGTTTTCATCAAGGTTATGCTGGTCATAAAACAAGATGAGGAGTGTCTTTTTATTCTTCAGGAGAATTTCTGTAAGATTGGCTTTGTTTCTTCCTTAAATGGAAGAATTCAAAGTGACATCCTCTGGATGTGGAGTTTTCTTTGTAGGGCTTAAATTATGAATTCAATTTTCATAGATTTAAGGCTATTCGGATTCTATTTCTTTTTGAGTCAGTTTTGTGTTTTTCAAGAAATTTATCTGTTTAATCCAAATCTTCAAATTTAATTGCTATGAAGTTCATAATTTTCTGTTAAACTTTAAAAAATTAATATGTATTAAAATACTTTTTTTGAACATACAATTCTATGAATTTTATTTATTTATTTATTTATTTAGAGACAGAGTCTCACTCTGTTACCCAGGCTAGAGTGCTGTGGCGTCAGCGTAGCTCACAGCAACCTCAGACTCCTGGGCTCAAGCAATCCTTCTGCCTCAGCCTCCTGAGTAGCTGGGACTACAGGCATGCGCCACAATACCCGGCTAATTTTTTCTATATACTTTTAGTTAGCCAATTAATTTCTTTCTATTTTTTCTTTTTCTTTTTTTTTTTTTTTTTTTTTGAGACAAAGTCTCACTTTGCACTTTGTTGCCCAGGCTAGAGTGAGTGCCATGGCGTCCTAGCTCACAGCAACCTCAATCTCCTGAGCTCAAGCCATCTTCCTGCCTCAGCCTCCTGAGTAGCTGGGACTACAAGCATGCACTACCATGTCCAGCTAATTTTTTGTATGTATACTTCTATTTGGTCAATTAATTTCTTTCTATTTTTGGTAAAGACGGGATCTCGCTCAGGCTGGTTTCGAACTCCTGACATTGAGCGATCTGCCCGCCTTGGCCTCCCAGAGTACTAGGATTACAGGCATGAGCCACCATGCCTGGCCACAATTCTATGAATTTTAACTCATGTAGAGACTCGTACAATCACCACCATGGTCAGGATACAGAGTAGTTCCATCCAGAAAACTCTCATGCCATCTCATGACACACCCTTTACCCTCACAGCCACTGATCTGTTCCCCATCACTAGTTTTGTGTTTTGGAGAATGTCCTATACAATGGAATCATGCAGTATATAACTATTTATTTTATTTTATTTTATTACAGTCAAATTTAGCTATGGGGGTTTAGTTTAGTTTATACCACCTTTAGTGGCACTAATATCAATAAATTCTGGTAACACACTACTATCAGACCAGCTAGTATAGAACCTTTTTAAACTGCCTTCTTTCACTTAGCATAATGCTTTTGAAGTTCATCCACATTTTTGCATATATCAGTAGTCAATACTTTTTATTGCTGAAAAGTATTCTGTTGTATGGACATTTTAGTTTGTTCATCCATTTACTTGTTGGAGGATATTTAGATTGCTGCCAAGTTTGGTAATTATGAATAAAGCTGTTAGAAACATTTGTATACAGGTTTTTATATTAACATTAATTTGCTTTCTTTAGTATAATACATGTTTAACTTTACTGGAATATGCCTAACCACTTTTCTGAGTGGTTGTACCATTTTGTAGTACATGAGCAATGTTTGTAGTTCCAGGTGGTCTGGATCCTTGCTGGCTCTTGGA